ATTTTGAAGACAATGAAACAAAAAAAGGGTTTTTTTAAAAAAAAAAAAAGGGTTTTTTTTTAAAAAAAAAAAAAAAACTTTCCTTGTTCTAAGTGGTTTAAGATCTCATTTGTTGTTGTTGGTTGCGAAGTCACGTCCGCCCATTGCAACTTCATGGACAATGTTTCTCCAGGCCTTCCTGTCCTCTACCATCCTCTGGAATCTATTTAACCTCACACTGACTGCTTCAGTGACTCCATCCATTCACCTCATTCTTTGTCATCCCTTTCTTCTTTTGCCCTCAATCATTCCCAGCATTAGGCTCTTCTCCAGTGAATCCTTTCTTCTCATTAGGTGGCCAAAGTATGAGAGTTTCATCTATAGGATCTGGCCTTTTAAAGAGCAGTCAGGGAGCAGTCCTCTAGGACTGACTGGTTTGATCGCCTTGTGGTCCTAGGGACTCACAGGAGTCTTCTCCAGCATCATAGTTCAAAGGCCTCAATTCTTTGGTGCTGAGCCTTTCTTATGATCCAACTTTTACAGCCACACATTGCAACTCGGAAAGCCTTGACTATACACACTTTTGTTGGCAGGTTGCTGTTTCTGCTTTTTAGTATGTTGTCTAGATTTGCCATTACTTTCCTCCATAGAAGCAAGCATCTTTTAATTTCTTGGCTGCAATCCACATCTCTTGTTCCTCTTGGATGGCCCTGCACAGCATAGCTCATAGCTTCATTGAGCTAGATAAGCCCCTTTGCCATAACAAGGCAGTAATCCATAAAGAGGTAGGACCTCATATGGTATGTCAAAAGGAAACCTTTTGCTTGGTACTATTTAGCTGCCAAAGTCATTTTTGTTTTAGAAAAAGGGATAATATACTTATACCATTCAACAACCTGGGCACTACATTCTGTATCATCTGCACCTCCTGGATCAAGTTTAAGGTAGCTTCACATAGACTGCATTGCAGTAATCTAAATGTGAAGCAGAGATTTTGTGAATGGTTGCTAGCCCATCCCTATCTAGGAAAAAGAATATAGCATATTTAGGCTCCTACAGCCCCCAATTCCCATATCCAGGAACTACCAAGCCAAATATTTTTTGTTTCGTCAGGAGTCAACCTTAGTTTACTTGTCCTCATACACTGAATGCATTTTCCTCTATTTTTTGCCACACTTTGTTAGTGATCTCTTGAATGGAAATATCTCTACCTTGCCTGTTTTAATGGCCCATCCATTCTCCACGTAATTTCTAATGATGACATAAAGAAAATGGAAGAGGTTTAAATTAAAATGAAGGCAATATATGTAGTATTTTTGTAACATTCAGTATCATTACCTTTAAATTATCAGGCAATTCAGTGCGTCCAGCATAGCCAGGGTTCATTGTGATGAAGACTGCACAAGATGGAACTAGTGGAATCTCAGCTCCTTCAAATATAAAACGATCCACCTGTAGGCAATAAAAATAGTGAACAAATTGATATTCAAAAATGTATCTTCAAATTACATCATAAAGAAACTGTTTTCTGGCTATAACAACTTCCTCACCATTTTACAGATTTCACATACTAGTGACTGAACAATTTATGTGGTAAGTCAAGCTCAAAAAGCTGTCCAGTTTAGAATTTTAAATTTAAAAAATCATTGTAATTCTAATGATAAACAGCAGTTAAGAATCTCAGTTGTGATAAATATCTGAGAATAAACAAAATAAGACTTAACCAAAGAGTATTAGGTTAGGGTTAGGGTTAGGATTATGACTTTGCCAGATGTTAATAGATGTTTCACTACGTCACTAGAGTACTCTTTGGGGATGGATGGATGGCTAGACAGACAGATATTTGTAATTGCTGTAGCAATGTGCTGGGTATGCATTGAGATGCATGCCTAAGTAGCATTTTTTTGAATTCAGACAACTAAATTGTTACTCCTAAAAAGCCCACAAATACATTATCATGCATTCACGTTGACTCAAGATGAAAACAAGTTGAAAATAATTAAACAAAAAGATATTATGAAGACATCCTAACTTACTCGCTGTTGCTGGGCCTTTTGAATAGTTGTGATCTGCTGGGCAACTACAGACAACACTTCAATGTCAATGCGGTTGAATTCATCAAAGCAAGCCCAGGCTCCAGAGCTAAGTGCATAAATAGAAGAGAATACCAGATATCCATAGTAGTGATTACTAATGCAATCAGTCTTAAAAATCAGAAGATATCAGCAGAGAAAAATGACTAAACCAATGTTCTAATTTTCTTATTAGGACATTTTGCAAGAAGGTTCATATGTGAAATCCGCACTAAGCACAGTACTCAAAGATTCCTTATTTATTTTGTATCAGTGCTCTATTCATAGATAAAACTGAGAAGTAACTCCTAAAATCTGATGTTGCAGTGCTGGGACACTGTTTTAATATTGAATTGCAACAAATATAAAATAGTTTAATGAAATCTCTGGGATGTGGGATTTTGTTTCAGGTTTGTTCAAAGCAAAATTAAATTTCTGTTTCGTGAACACCCTACTTTATTCTAGTTCAAAAGATAATATACAGTTTCATCTGAGGTTGATATCACCCTCAGCTTTAAAACATAGCTCTATCTCAAACCTTGTGTTACAATGAATAATAAATCTTTTTTGGAAAGTTTGGTTATCTGATTTTTCTTTTGGATTATACTGGGTTTCCATTTTTTATGGTTTTGTCATCATAACTACTCAGAACTGTACAGATTGGAGCAGCTTATACATTTAATAAATAAGTAAATTAATCTTGTACACTGAAATTTAGCCAATTCTCAATACTTTAGGGCCACATATGTTAATACTTCTCCTTGGCAATAACAACAACAAAAAAGGAGAGTGGTATTAGATAAACTCATTTATTCTGAACATGTGCATACTCTCTTCCACTCCTCATTTGATGTAGCTCTATTTTAATTCAGACATATTTATTTACATAGGTGCAGTACTGTGCTTTGGTACCTGGCTAGTCCTTTCAGGAATTTTCCCATTGCCATAAAGTCAAGCTGATCCGAGCAATTAAAAACAACCGTCTGTATAGCTAAAGCTTTCCCCAGATCCTTAGTTGTCTCTGTTTTGCCTGTTCCAGCTGGTCCTGCAGGAGCACCTCCAAATTTCAAATGCAAGGCTCCAGTCAGGGTCAGGTAGCATCTGTAATAGGAATTAAATCGTTTTCAGAATTCTGGAAGTATCTTTTTAAATTTTCTAGATTGAAGCATGTATTATTCATAAACCAGCATTCTAAAGAACTACCTTCTATGCTTATACTGTAAAAGTGCAATTTTAAATCGTTCATATGTAAATAGCAGCATAGCCTAAGATGATACATATAGAAAAGAGTTCTCTTTTATTTTACTAAAATGAATACAATTATTTCATGAAAGAAAAAATACCAAAAGGGCTGAAAAGCTTCTCTGATTCATTCTGACTCTTAATTTGATGATCAATTAGAGCTGAATGAGGTTAGACATGATTCAATTGATCCCTTGAGAACAATTAGCATTTCAGAAATCCATTTGACCCTCCTCCAAAGTACTAATAATCAATGCTATGCCAATCTTCAAGCATAAGACTGTTTTGAAACAATACCCACAGTCTATGCTATCCCCCCACCCCGCACAAAGAGTGTTTTAACTGTTCTGAATTAATTAGGCATTTCCATCATTCCATATTATCCACAATAGACCACTTGCTTAAATTGCCTCTACCAACATTACTGACAACTCAATGACCATATCCTGTTCAACTTACAAAAGATACAAGCCCCTTTTTTGCACATATATGGATGCTACATTATCATAATTAAAGAAATATATCTTAGCACTGGTTTGCGTTTGTGTAATAGCTTTTAGCAGGAGAGGCTAATTTTCTTTTTATGTACTTGTATAAATCTTAATTGTACACAACGTTTAACTATAACGGGCATGTTGAGATAGTCTAGATTCCATACCACTGTGGAATGAACTGATTAACCCCAAGTGATTCTTGCATCACAAACTTTTCCCTAGATTGTCAGGAAAAAAAAGAAGAAAAAGCAGCTCCAAAATTCTATTGCTGTGGGATTACTGAAGCAAAGAGAAAGGGCACTCTGGCCCTGTCCATTGAGGAAAGAAACAAGTGTAATCAATTCTGGCTGGATGTCTGCAAGAATACCATGAGGGAAAGATTGGTCTGATCAAAATTGGATAGAAATGTCAGTTTATAGCATATTATATTGTTTTGGCCTTAAACCCCCTAACTCCCAATATTCTTCTTCCCTTATGTGTCTTTTTTTAAAGTTTGAAAACCTGATAGTGGAGCCTGTCTCTCTTTTATTAATTCATGTGAGGTGCTTTGAGAGAAAGAATTGTCTGAAGCGCAAGATTAAAATATTGTAAATAATTAACTTTGTTTCCTATCTGATTCATAGAAATTTTGAAGGTTTCACACCTTAACTAAGGATTAATAAACCTGGGCTGCAAAATCCAAATGAGTACTGCAGAACAGTAAAGAAGCTGGATTTTTCATATTTATTTATTTATTTTATTTTATTTATAAAATGTATTGGCTGCCCATCTTACTATAGAGTAACTCTGGGCAACTTACAGCTACCTATACAGTTAAAACATAAGTTAAAATCGGACAGTAAAACCAAGAACACATGGAGAGGGCTGGGGCAGAGTAGGGGAGAGTTGGGATCTGTTATTACTCAATCAACCACCTCCATTGCACTGTTCCCCCACTGAGGCCCCAAACTAACTGACATAGTCATGTCTTTAGGCCCTTACGGAAAAATAGGAGAGTTGGGACCAACCTCACATTTGGGGGCAAGATGTTCCAAAGGGTAAGAGAAACAACAGAGAAGACCCTCTTTCTGGGCCCTACCAGCCAGAATAATTGAGATAGCATGCCTCCTCTGCTGGCACGAATGGTATGGGGCATTCCCATTGGGATGAGACGGTCTCAAATAACCTGAACCCGAAGGATTTTGTGCCCATTTCATAATTCCCTTGATTTTTACCCCAAAAATATTGCTGATTTACTTGTTGGTCTTTTCCTGGGTTTCTTTTTTATGCTGTCTCTAAACATCCTGAAACCCTATTAATTGTTTTCTGTGCTGAACTTATCTTCCTCAGTTGTATATTCACATTAGCCTCACCTGCTCTTCAGGCTTCCTACTTCTTTGAAATTCTGAACACATCCTGCTATCATCTTCCACAGCACATTTGACTGCAATCAATTTTTTATTACTTTTTAAACAGCATGCCGTTAAGCTTCACATCTAAGCTCATCAGTAAATCACCGGTTTCTGGACACATAATCCTTAGTTCAACTTTTCAGTTTGATTTGGCAGACAACTCATAAGAGACAGCTCGTCTAGATTAGGATATTGCAGACAAAACATAGCTTGGCAATGAGATCCGTTCTTCGTTGTTGATGCTACCAGAAACTGATGCCCACCCACAAGGGCAGTGCTGAGCTGAACTTGGATGAACTGGTGTCAAGTTTGGGCAACAAGTCAGTTGGTACATTTTTGCTACAACTAATGTATCAACGGCCACATACAATGTTGAACAATGCTAGGACATCTCCCTGGAGGTGACGTGTTGGTCTTGCCTGGTTCAAGGGCAGAACTTGCTAAAGAAGCCAAGTCAAACATCATAATTAAACACTGCTCCAATCAAGATCAGCATCCTGACTGGATGCAGTCATGAGCAGTAGACATGCTAATATGATACAAGGTGGATATTGTGTGCATACAAGAGACACACTAGAAAGGTCAAAAGTCTAGTGACATTGGCAAAGGATACAAAAGAATCTACTGTTTCGAACAACAAAGGCATGGCTATCATAGTAGGCACTGATCTGCACAGCCATCTTGTTGAGGCCCATTGACACTCTGACCATCTCATGTTAACTGTCATTGTACTGCTGCCACATATTTTCTTGGTCTATGTCCCACAAACTGAATGTGGTGGAGAGGAGAAATAACAGTTTTGGATGAAAACTGTTCAAGGTTGTGTATCTACCTACCTACAAGAAAACCTGCTGTTTCTCTGCATCTAAACTGACATGTCACAATTGTCATGGTGACAATCACATTTATCATGATGGCAATCAATATGGTATGGAAAATGAGTATGGAGAGTGAGTCCTGAATGTCTCCATAGCAAATGACTCACCAACATCAGCACATTTTTCAAAAAGTATGACAACCACTATGCCAGCAGCAACCACAACAGCTAGATTTTACTGTATGCAATAATTTGACTTCCCCATTATCATGGGTGCAAAGGTCATTCCATCCAAATGCCTTACCCTGCATAAGACGCTTATGTTGATATGAAGTTCAGTATGCATTAAAAGAATGACAACAGAAAATCCAGAGAAAATCAAATGGTGGAATCTACAAGGCTGTGATTGTTGACTGCATCACATTTTCTCCAATCACTTCAGGCTTGATTGACATAAGTTCATGACTGCTGCTGTGAGAATAACCCTAGGCATTGCAATATTTATTGATGTACAGTATTCCAAAATGCTGTTCTGTAGAGGGTTCCTGCATATAACTGGCTCCTGACAAATTACCTCGTGGGTCAATTGATGACCGACTTCACCCAAAGTCACAAACAAGTGCCTTGATTCAGATTTATTCATTCAGAACTATGAACATATTTAATTGTTTGACACCAAAGGAGTTACTATACCTGTCAGTAAGAGGAGTGATCACAAGGCGCCCACTATTACCCAAGTATTCATAGCCATAAATAAATTCAGCATTCACTGCCCGAATGTATAAATCATCTCTTGTCCAGTAGTACCTAATAATGCATTAAAAGTTAAATTGAAATACATGGCTGGTACATTTTATAGTACAATATTTCTGTGTACCTGGATAGATTTCATTTATACTAAACAATCTTCTCAGAAATAAGAATGAAGTTGATGATGGGATAATTAAGGGGATGCTTGTTGTACTAGAATAATGACCTGAATAAAAGTATTAGAAGATAAAAACACAGAATAGAAGGAATATTTTCAGAATTTTCAAAAGTATGCTTGACCTCTCTCTTTCTCTCTTATTCAGTGTACCTCCTACTTAAAAAGAACAATCCTTCCATACTACTAGCAATTTCTAATAACATCACAGGTAGGAGGAAATCCCTCACCTGAGCTGGGAAATCCATTCAAAATCATTTTCACTCATGACATTTTCCTCAATAAGTTTAGCTGCCACATCCTTGGCATGAACTTCAATCACAATGAGAGCTGATAACACTCCCCGCTGCATCCGAGACAGTTTACCTCGCACAAGTGCTACTAGGTCACGCAGCTGTGCAAATAAAGCAAAACAAATCAGGCAGTGCCTTTACCCACTAAACCGCAAATCTACTTGATATGCTCTAGCCACCTCTATATTGATTTCATAAGAAAACTGTTGTTACTTAGGAAACAGGGGCGGCGGAAAAGAATCTTCTCCTCAACTCACTGCTCATGTTCAAGATAAAAAGGACCTGATTTTTCTATTCTATGTATTTTAATGGATGCAGAATTGAATGTTTGTGGGAATGGAGATCAGATATCATCATGATATTCCTTTATTCTGCTCTTTTCAACCATCAATTTCTGGATTATTTTGACAGTAGTTTTTCAGAGGAAATGAGAATAGACATAATTTGATTCTAGACATGCATACTGATATATTAAACCCTATCTGGATTTTATACATAGGAAAAAGCAAGGAAATAAGCTGGAAACTAACTGTTCTAGTAGAATAGAATAGAACAGAATAGAATAACAGAGTTGGAAGGGATCTTGGAGGTCTCCTAGTCCAACCCCCTGCTTAGGCAGGAAACCCTATACCATTTCAGACAAATGGCTATCCAACATCTTCTTAAAAACTTCCAGTGTTAGAGGATTTACAACTTCTGAAGGCAAGTTGTTCCACTGATTAATTGTTCTAACTGTCAGGCAATTTCTCCTTAGTTCTAGGTTGCTTCTCTCGATCAGTTTCCACCCATTGCTTCTTGTCCTGCCCTCAGGTGCTTTGGAAAATAGCTTGACTCACTCTTCTTTCTGGCAGCCCCTGAGATAGTGGAACACTGCTATCATGTCACCCCTTCTTTTCATCAAACTAGACATATCAATTCCAGCATCCATTCTTTATATGTTTTAGCCTCCAGTCCCCTAGTAGCTTTATTGGTCCCAGAAGTCCAAACTATTTAGATTCTAAGGCCAAAACCAGCACTTTAAATTTGAACCCCAAAACCAATGAATAGGTTTAGGTTTAGGTTTAGGTAGTTTATTTATATGCCGCCCTTTTCCCTGGGGGGACTCAGGGCGGCTCACAGTTCAAAAGGAAGGGAGGACAAACAATTAAACACATAAGACAGTACATCATTAAAAGCACAACATTCATACAATTCGGGTGGAGTTGAGGTCTTTAGCCTGTCGGGACAGCCAGGTTTTAAGGGCTATGCGGAAGGTCTGGAGGGTGGTGAGGGTACGAATCTCCACGGGGAGTTCGTTCCATAGGGTCGGAGCTGCCACAGAGAAGGCTCTCCTCCGCATGGTTGCCAGTCGGCATTGACTGGCTGATGGAACTCGGAGGAGGCCTAATCTATGGGATCTAATTGGTCGAGTGGAGGTAATTGGCAGTAGGCGGTCTCTCAAGTAGCTATTTGAAACATGGTATTGTAATTTGAAAAATATCTGAATAGGGCTAGGAGAAGACTACTCTAGCAAATAACATGAAAACCAACTTTTCATTGCAGAAATAATGTAAATGGAAATATACAATTAACTGACAATTTTTACCTGAGCACTTAGCTGTGGAAATAGCCTGGTAGACAAATCTCCAGCTTCTAAAGCTTCTGATACTTCTTTTGTCCAGTATGTTTGACATCCAGCTATGGTCACCTGGCCTGGCCAATCTAAGACCCATGTGGTCCGCGGTGTCTTTCATTAAAAATAGATCACTTTTATTGGTAAAAAAATTGGGTAATTTTCTTTCATCTTCATTACTATCCCATAAGCATGATATAATCAATTGTAATTTACTGTAAAACATTTATAACAGCATGTGGCAATGTACAGAGGGTTCCTTTTGGAGAGAGACAAGTACATTTTTCTTAACATTTAGAGCATATACATAAATATGAAAGCTTTTTTAAAAAGTTAAGATCAGTTCTGTGATATCACAAGGATAGAGATTTAAATCTTTTTTCACACCACTTTCTTGTAGACACTAGCCAGCTAATGAGACTAAAATCAAATCTATACAACACTACAAATGTGGCTAGCAGATTTTGAGATGATAAGAATGACAAGGAAGCCTCACCTTCAGTAGATCTCAGCCTAGTATGTTCAAAAAGACATGAAGCTTAAATGTACTCCTTGGATCAATAGTGCTTTTAGAAACTTAGCCTGCATCTTTGTCCTGGAGAGCCATTTATCAGCTCCATACAATCAAGAATACTTCAGCCCATGAAATTCAGCTGGCAATCTCATTCTAAATTTGTAACTTCAATCAGTAAATCCAATCAAGTTGTACTTGATTGTAACTTCAGAAGATTCAACAGTTGAGAACATAGGAACAGTTAAGATTAAGAGCCCCTCTCGGATGGAAATGAGCGTTTAAGAAATATGAAATATAAATAAATAAATAAGATTACAGTGCAGCAATTTGCGCTGTCTCTCTGTTATCTTATAGATATTGATTATGACTAATAAGTTTCAGACCAATACATCTCATTTCTTTCCTCCTTTATTGTGTCACACTGTCAAATACATTCCTGTGGTTTTACTACTGGTAAGATAAGACAAGACTGACAATATACAGAGGGGGGTTTCTGAAAATTGCTTTCAGTTTCTTTGACTTACCTTGCAAATCTTGAAAATATATTTTAGAAACTATGCTAGCCTTTTTTTAAAAAAAAAATCATTTTCTGCTAGAAACAGGGCTTGATATTTGTGGAGTTTTATGTATTTCAACATTTTTAACAGTCCCTAACAAGACTAAAAAACTAAAAATCTAATACCTAGCCTGGCCAATCTAAACCCACTTAGTCCAAGGTATTTTATACCATCTATGCTGACAATCATTTGGCTTACTTCTGCAATCCCCATACAACCTGTTTAAATAACCAACAAAAAAAGAGGAAAGAGGCTTTTCTCAAAGAAGAAATAGGTTTTTTGAAACATAAATAGAAGGCAGACACCAAGACACATTTATGTTCATATTAAGAACCAAGAATAGGGTGAGAAAACCAGAAGGTTATTAAAATTCACACCGGGAGTTTATCAGCAGAGATGGGAGCCTTACGATAGCACAAATAGTGTTCGTTCATTTTTACATGAATTCTGTACAATTATAAACAAGACACCTACATCTGGGTAAACTTTAATTGCTCTTTCAATATTGTCCCGCACACTAGCCTTCATAATTTTCTCAACTTGCAGCAGCCAATCTTCCACATTGCCCGTAGGATAAATAGAAGAGAAAAGCTCCACTTCTTCATCTTCTGCAGAATACATGTGTGTAATCTGCAGATCTTCCTGAAAGAGAAGCTAATGAGGAAAAACACAGCATGAGACTGACAACCTTTCTTCCATTCTTGCCTTGTACAAAGAATAGGTAAAGATCTTGTTAACAGGAAGGTATTTTTTTTTCCATTTAATTTTACTTTCTAAATAGAGAGAAATATCTTCAGATATCACAAGCATGCTCACATAGTATACCTATACGTGTCATCCAGTGGTGGGTTTCAAAAAATTTTTAGAACCTCTTCTGCAGGTTTTGGCCTGCTTTGTGGGAGTGGCTTGGCAGCCATGTGACTGGTGGGAGTGGCTTGGCAGCCATGTGACTGGTGGGAGTGGCTTGGCAGCCATGTGACTGGGTGGGCGTGGCCAACTTGTAAAATGTGGTGAAACTCACTTAACAACGCTCTTGCTTAGCAACCAAAATGTTGGCTCAGAAACTCTGGCACTTGAAGCACGCAAGTCTTAAAGCTATCAAGTTACAAGACCCTTGCACCCCTAACCCTTTAGGAAAAAAAAACCCAGGGGTGTTCAAACTTGACAGCTTTAAGACTTGTGGACTTCAACTCCCAGAATTCCTCCTCCAGTCATGTTGGCTCAGGAACTCTGGCATTGAAGTGTGCAAGTCTTAAAGCTGTCAAGTTACAAGACATTTTCACCCCTAACCCTTTAGAAAAAAAACCCCCAGGGATGTTCAAACTTCAGCTTTAAGACTTTAAGGTTTAAATAGGACTCTTAGAGACGGGCGGGGCGATTAGTGAGCCAGCCAGTCAGTGAGCGGTGGGCGGGGCACATGTGGTGCAAACGGGTGGGGAGAGGGAGCTGGAACCGGTTCTAAATGGCACGGTAGATTTGTGAAACCTCTTCTATAGAAGAGGTTAGAACTGGTAGGAACCCACCTCTGGTGTCATCTCATAACTCACCTCAATATGTAGGATTTCTCTATTTGTTTGCTTGTTTGTTTACTCATGTATTTACAGTTTAAATATCTAAGTAACTATCACTGATTTGGGGTAGTGTAGAAACTTTTTAAAAAGACACAATGTATTTAAAAAAAAGGAAAGATAGTTCTAACAGGGAAAGGCATTGAAGGTGCTGACTGTATCCCCAGGCATTTGGATCAAGTGGGAAGATAAGGTCTGTTATTACTGAAGGTAATTTATGCTATTGTTTATCCCTGAGTACTAATGAATTATTTCTAATGGGTTTATGTGATTTAAGCCTGTGAATTGCTAGCCGTCACATATGTGACATGGACAGCTATACAAACCATATAAGCAAATTTGTCTGTCTGTATACGTGACCCGACAAAAGAGCGAACGACAAATCCACGCCTGACTAAACCGCGTCGCTAAAACTGCAATGTCATCAACGCACCGACAACAGTGCGGCGACAACAGCGCGGAGACAGAAAGCTGATTTAACTTAAGGTTAGGGTTAGGGTTAGGTTTACAGTTAGGTTTAGGGTTAGGGTTAGGGTTAGCGTTACGTTTAGGGTTAGCGTTAGCGTTATGTTTAGGGTTAGGTTTAGGTTTAGTTTTACAGCGTGCTTTTGTCGCCGCACTGTTGTCGGCGCGATTAAGCACTCATTCGTCGGAGCGCTTTAGAACATGCGGTTTTGTCACCGCGGTTTAGTTGTGCAAGGTTTTGTCGTTCGCCCTTTTGTCGGTGAACCGTCTGTATATCATCCATCCATCCATCCATCCATCCATCCATCCATCCATCCATCCATCCATCCATCCATCCATCCATCTACTACCCTATAAATATATAAAACTTATCCCATTGTGGATGCACATTTCATTCTAGTTCAAAGTCAGGGAAAAAGATAGGCCTAAACTTAGTTGAAGCAAAAGAGAACTGAGGCTGTTTTCAACAGGATCATGGTGTTCCAAAGGATAGATATTATGTTAGGGAAGGCATAACTCCTGAATATTGTAGTATAGCATAATTTGATAGATGGGATGAAGGCCATGTCAAAATTGTCAAATCTTATTGGATTGGTAGAAACAAGAAAGGAAAGACAAATACCCAAACCCTATGTCTTATAGGGATTTGTAATATAAACCATCACCTTGAAGTTGTACTCAGAAAGCTACTGGGTAACAAGAGCAACTTGTGCAGGAGGAACGTTACATGGAAATAGTGAGGTAAGCCTATAAATACTCATGCCACTGCATTCTGGACTAGTGGTAGCTTCTGAGTGATCTTCAGGTGAATTCATTGCAGTATTACACATATGAGGTGAGTAGGGCATGAATGAAGGGCTCTCAATTTAGAAAAATGAGCAATCAATGCTCAGGACAAATCTGCACAAAGGCCATAGCTGCCATCTGCTCTTTCAAACTTCCAAATTCCAAACCAGTTGTGCCATTCAGAAATAAGAATGGAAAATCCCCAGAACTAGAAGGTTTGTGGATACAAAGCCACTTGATCCTGCAACAGTTGATCTTAAGTCAGTTCCTCCTCATCAGACCGCTAGAGATGCCAAGGCCTGGGGCTAAACCTTGAGAGCATAATTTTCCCATGCAATATTTACCCGTGCAATATTCTCAAAACACTTGCGGAGGTGAGGCTGCACAGCTGTAGGATCTTTGGTTTGAGACAGTATTTCTAAAAGTTCATCATCAGAAAGGAAGTAAAATCTGGAAAGGAAAAAGATTCTTGTTTGTCACAGGATTCTAGAGCACAATATGATATGGTACATTAGAATGCAATTTTAAAGCCTTGGATCTAATTCCAGAATCGATTAATTTCTAATGCAATCCTTTTACTGGGATTCTAAAAGAATAAACATTCCTTTTCTAAGAGGAAAACACTAAAAATGTAAGAATACCAAAGAGATTAATCCAGGATATTATGAGAAAATTAGATCCCATTATTCTTTTATGAATTCCCAGTGAACTTTTTTTTTTAGAAATGATTATTGCCTGATGCTATTCTAAAAACTCTGGGAGATGTAGCATCAGTCTTAGAGGAGAGGACATTTTTCTCTGGGTAATAAATCTTTTTCTTTTTCCCTCCCTCTCTCTCTCCCTTCTTAAATGAGTAATACTCTGAATGCCTTACAGAAAAGAGACTTCAATTAAGACTTGTCTCAGAATATGAGTAAATCTTTGTCTAGTGAATTGAGCACATGGGAATGAAAGCTGATGCAAAACCTCCATACATGAAGCTCAAAATACATGCTACATGCTGTCCCAGTCTTCTTTTCTATTGCTCTATATTTAAATCTCAATTACAATAATTTTACTCCTGAGGTTATACTGTAAGTTTCCTTGTTCAACATCTCTTGTCTCCCTGATACAAAAGCTGAACAGCATCCAAACATACATTTCCTTGAGTGAGAATGACAGGACATCTTCAAGTAGGAAGCAAGAGAGATCCGTCACTTTCTTTTCTGTTGCTCCTGGGTGTGTGTTTAAGTATTTCAGATCATACAATTACCTTGGGAAAGCTCCCCTCTTAGTCTCCAAGTATTCACTTAGACCTTTCTGCACCAGATCCAGTAATTTATTACATTCCCTTAGCTTTTCCAATAGCCTTGGGTCCGGGCATACATTAATTACCTGGAAATTGACAGATTAACACAATTGAGCAAGCAATGAAAAATGTAATATAATTTTACATTGCGGATTTAATTTCAGTCATGCACTAATAATAAGAATGCTGGTGTTATGTTACAACAAAAAGGGCTTAATATTGGGATGAAGCAAAATTACAAAGAACAAAGAACAAAATGAAGAGAAAGAGTAATACTCTTCAAATCTTAGTCTGCAATCTCTATACCTTTGGTCTCTGTATTTAAAGAGATCAAATTGATATTCAAAAGTAAATAAATTATTTGGAAAAGAAAAGAGAGAAAAATGGGTAGTAGGAAAAAGAGAAAAGGAGCTAGCTATCTATCCTCAAGAAAATGTAATCCATGAGAGAGTTTCCATCTAGAACTATGATTTTAAATAATTGTTTGAAGGCTAATGTTAACCATAGAATACCCTAATTGAATCCTACAGCAAGACGATGAGAGCTAACACTGAATAGAAGAAAGGAATGTATTTGTGAATAGGAGAAAAAAAAGAAACCGAAGTAGAACTCCCAAAATATGTCTTAACCATGTCTCTTCTCAGATGTGTAAATAAAGGGAACATTTAAGCTGTATAACTATATAAGTTATGGAGATTCTCAGTCATCCAGGTCATGGACTGAATTGAAGAAGCTTTTTGGATGAAAAGCGAAACGTCTTCAAGGAAAAGCAAAGAAAATAAATACAAAAGTTCTTTATTTAATTTTGCCCAAAATCAACAGGACTCCTACCAAAATTCATTAACAATGGCCCACAATAAGGTGCAAATTCAACAAGGAACAACAATTCTTAGAATTTGGGCAAGGATTAATTTGACCTAGTGTCCTAAACCTAAGAAACATATTACAGACGTGTATACATTGATAAGACTGAGTATTTTACACACTACATTTAATACATTTTAATATACTTCTTTAAATGTATGCAAAATCACCTTTTAAATAGCATTAAGCTTTGAACACATCCACATTATCATGGTTTTCATCCCCCAATTTCCTATGACCAGTTTGAAGCCAACCTGTTGCTAACCTTCAAAACGCCACAAATTCCAGGAGCTAATCAGTGCTGTTTCCAGTAGACCAGAGTGCAGACATGTTCCATCATTTATGTTTTAACCTCATGTTGTGTGGCAATTTCTCAAAAAGAATATTAATGTATTTGTCATAGAGGGGGAGCTATGAATAAGGCTCTATTTCTTTGTAATATTTTAAAGATCTTTGAAGTAATAGTGCCTTAGCAAAATGTTATTGTAGTAAATTTTCTACATGAATGGGAAAAAGACTGAGCAGAATGGTTAACATGAAGAAATGAGGAGATAGGAGAATTCCAGCCAATGAGAGACAAGCACATCCATAGACTCTCTGGAGAACAGCAAAAGGAAAGTAGCTGTTGGGCATTTTCAAATACACCAAAACACAGCTTAAAATTGGTTGTTTCTTAAGCATTACTGATATTGTGGAATCATTAAAGTTCAGAGATAGCTTTAAAGTGGCGTAGAGTCTTTTCGTAGAATTGCCCCATGCTAATAGTTATAACCTCACCTCTCTGTTCTCATTGGCATTCTTCATAATCTTTCTCCACATCCTCTCCATTGTCTGGTAACGTTTGCTTTCCACAGGTAATTGTCTATTGATGTCTTCCGAACTAAAAATGGGTTCCAGATATAGCCAGGAACGCTGGCAAGTGAGCCATTCTTCCAAGACATCCTAGAAATAATAGGTTGTATAAGTGTGTATGTAGATAGATAGATAGATAGATAGATAGATAGATAGATAGATAGATAGATAGATAGATAGATAGATAGATAGATAGA